GATATTGATATAATTGATATAAGTATAAATTATATTAATATAATTAATATATTTAATGCATATTTTTAAAATAAAAATGATATATATTTATATATATATATATATAATATTTGAGACAAGACGTCTCGATGGTAATCCTGTGTCCTGTCTTATCTCAAACTCCTTTCCTGTCTCATCCCGCAAAGTCCTATCCTGATTGTTTTCGACGGGATGAGACCCGTCCTGATATGATCGAGACAATACTGGGTCAATCGAGATGGGTACAAGCTAAACACCCTTAATTCTCACTTTGCCCAATAATCACATTCACACTAATACAACCATCACATTACTTTTAATACACTTCTTCTATGCCAACCATCATCATATAACTTAACGAATTCTCATTTCAACACATTCATAAGATGAAAAGATTTAAAGCTCCTTTTACAATTACAACCAAATTTTAAATTTGATAAAACTTACATGAACACATGACATATTTGCAATAACCATTTCAACCATACATGCAAACAATTTCATTTTCACATTACAATTCAATTAACAAACAACTACTCAAGATATATTTTTCTCAGTTATTTCAAACCTTTAAAAGGCCAAAGATTTATCCCTCCATATAAGTTTCCAAGCTTTCTTTCCAAGCCAAATATGGTATCCAGATGATTAATCTATAATTAACCAAGTCCAAACTCATCAACATTACCACATATACACTTCTTTTATTTTTCAACACTTAATCACACGAAGTCTTTGTCTATTACATTCGAACTTGTACATTAAGCTCATTATCATTAATAACTTCATATTTTTTTCACTTTTTAATGACCAAATGGCCTTACTTCACTCGAACTCAATCTTAGTGCTGAACTCACAATCCAAAACATCTGTTAACTCTCTGTAACCACACAACACATAAATTTACTTCATTACTCTCATTTACTCAACTAATTTTGGGTTAAATCTTTCCCCAATATTATACCATATCATATAGTACAGAGCTTTTTCTCCTTATTTTTCTCCTATTTTAAGGTTTAGGTGACTCGACCTCGCTCTAGATCCTCATTTAGGGTTACAAACACAACCTAAATCAGTCATTAGTCCTCTCTGTCCACATGCCATACTAATTCTCACTTAATTATCCTTAATTAATTTAATTAATAGGAGGTTAAATTTTCATGATGTTACAATTACACACTTCTTCTCTTACACATTTCTAGGTTCAAATCACATGTTTGAGTCCTAAAAAAGACAATGCTAAAAGCATGTAATTATGCATATGTTTGAGTCCCAACATATAAAGCCTAAATGAGATTAGCCTTATTATGGAAATAAGAACATCTTCAATATAAAGAAGCTTATGGACTCATATATGACGTAAAGATTGTTCGAATGCCTAAAGATGATTAGATTTAAGTTGATCTGAAAAGTGTCACATGGCTTAATAATATATAATAAAGTGAAAGGACCTATAAATTTAAGTATTAAAATATAATAGGCTTGTTTGTTTTAAGATTAGAAAATATGTAATTTTTAGATAGTTTAGAGATTTATTTTGTAGATAGTTTCTAAAAAGCAAACATTATTTTATATTGGGTTACAATAATAAAAATGATTATTAGTTAGTTATTTTTAAATGTTATGATATATTCTTTGATTTTTGTTTTCTAAAAATGATTTTTATCAATTATTTTAAAATTTTATGATATCTTTGCATATCCCACCTTTTTAAAATACTTTGCTCATCTACTTCATCATATTATGTTAAAAAGCTATTCAACATAATTTCTTAAAATAACCACAAATATGCTTTAAATTCTGATTATTTTCAAAGGTTTAAACAAGGATAATTAAAACTCACAAAATAGATTATTTCAAAAAAATGATTTCTTCGTAAAATAAGTTGAAACAAACAAGCTGAGTATCATCCACTCTTCATAAGCCATTTGTTATCTTCTCTTGTTTTTAGATGCTTGCTCCTAGTTTCCAATAAATAATATCAAAGTCAAGTTTTGCTTGGCACCTGTGTAAATAAAATGATGTTAAACGCTCATAAATGTTCACACATTTGAGTCTTATTTCTTGGCAAGTGGTATCACAATCAAGTTTTGCTTATGACCCATATGAAAAAGAGGATGTTGGAAGTTCATAATCGCACAATGTTAAAAACTCATAATTATACAATGTTGGAAGCTCATAATTGGACATATATTTGAGTCTTAATTCCTAACAAGTGATATCAAAATAAAGTTTAGCTTGAGACCTGTACAAAAAAGAGGAAACATTTAATTGCACATTGTTGAAAACTCATAACTCCACATTGTTGGAAGCCCATAATTGCACACCGTTTTAGTCATAATTCATAACTTGTGGTGTCACATTCAAGTTTCAATTGAAACTTGTATGAAAAGGATGATGTTGGAATCTTGAAACTGCATAATATTAGAATCTTGTAACTTTAAACATGTTTGGAGTCCAATTTCTAAAAAGTGGTATTAAAGTCAAGTTTCATTAAAAATCTATATAAAAAGATGACATTAGAAGCCCTAATTGTACAATGTTTAAAACTCTTAATTGTACAATATTGGTAGCCCTTAATTGTGCACACGTTCGAGTCCAAATTCCTAATAAATTGCATGATAATCAGGTTGCTCTTGGGATTTGTATGAAAAAGATTATGTTAGAAGCCCATAATTGCACAATATTGCAAGCTTGTAATAATGGTATGACAATTAAGTTGTGTTTAGGAATTGTATGAAAAAAATGATGTTGGAAACCCATAGTTGCACACACAATTTGATTCTCAATTCCTAACAATTAGTATCATATTCAACTTTCACTTGAGACCTCTATGAAAAAGAGGAAGCTCATAATTGCACCATGTTAAAAATATGTAACTGCACGATGTTAGAAGCATGTAATTACACATAGATTTGAGTGTCAATTCCTAATAAATGGTCTTATGGTGAGATTTTGCTTGGACTTGTATGAAAAAGACAATGTTAGTAGCCCATAATTAAAAAAATGTTGAAAACTTGTAATTACACAATCTTGAAAACTCATAATTATACATATGCTTGAGTCGTAAAAAGTGATATTAGAGTTAGGTTTCATGAGAGACCTATATGAAAAAGGTAATATTGTAAGCCCTGGATTATTCAATGTTGAACACCTATAATTACACAATGTCAGATACCCATGATTGCATATACATTTAATTCATAATCCCAGCAACTGATATCACAATCATATGGAAAATACAATGTTGTAAGCTCATAATTGCACAATGTTTAAAACTCATAATCACACAATGTTGGATTTTCATAATTATACACACATGTTTGAATCCCAATTCCTAACATATGTTTCAAAATTAGGTTTCGTCAGGGACAAATATGAAAAAGATGATGTTGGAAGCCCATAATTGCACAATGTTGAAAACTCGTAATTACACGCACATTTGATTCCCAATTCCTAAACAAGTGGTATCACAGTATGGTTTTTCTTGGAACCTACATGCAAAAGAGGAAGCTCGTAATTGCTTATTATTGAAAATCCATAATTACACAATATTGGAAGCTCGCAATCACAAATACATTTGAGTTCTAATTTCTAACAAGCGGTATCATGGTTAGGTTTTATTTAGAACCTATATGGAAAAGACAATATTGAAAGCTTATAATTGCACAATGTTGGAAGCCCATAGTTACACATATATTTGAATTTCAATTCTTAACAAATGGTATCATAATCAAGTTTCACCAGGAACCTATATGAAAAAGATGATGTTGGAAACTCATAATTGCACACATGTTTAATTCTCAATTCCTAACAGTATCATAATCAAATTTCACTTGGGACCTATATGCAAAAGAGGAAACCCGTAATTGCACAATGTTGAAATAACATAATTACACAATGTTGGAAGCTTGTAATTTACACACATTTGAGTCTCAATTTCTAACAAATGATATCACAACCAAGTTTTGTTTGAAACCTATATGAAAAAAATGATATTGGGAGTCCATAATTGCAATTTGCACACACATTTAAGTCTCATTTCCTAAAAAATGGTATTACAATTAGGTTTTGCTAGGGACATGTGAAAAATATGATATTGGAAATTCAAAATTGCACAATGTTGAAAACCTATAATTGCAAACGTGTATAATTCACAATTCCTAAACAAGTGTTACAGTCAAGTTTCACTTGGGACCTGTGTGCAAAAGAAGAAGATCGTAATTGCACAATGTTGAAAACCCATAATTACACAATGTTGGAAGCCTACAATTGCACACATGTTTGAGTCCCAATCACTAATAATTGGTATCATAGTTAGGTTTCATTTGGGATCTATATGAAAAGGATGATATTGAAAACCCGTGATTACACAATATTAAAAACTCATAATTGCACAGTGTTGGAAGCCATTAGTTGCACACACGTTTAAGTTTTAATTCTTAATAATATTATCACAATCAAGTTTTGTTGGGAACCTGTATGAAAAAGATGATGTTAGAAGAGTATAATTATACAATGCTGAAAACCCGCACACACATTTGATTCTCCATTTCTAAACTATCACAATCAAGTTTTACTTGAGATTTGTATATAAAAGAAAAAACCTGTAATTGTACAATATTAAAAATCTATACTTACACAATGTTAGAAACCTCTACACACATTTGAATCACAATTTCTAACAAGTAGTATTACAATCAAATTTCATTTGAGACCTAATATCCTATTTTTTTTAATTTATTTATTTCAGTATTATATATTTTTTATTTATTTAAAAATACGTCACACTGATTTTTATCATTAAATTTATAAGAGAGGCACGTTGGAGATTTCATTACTCTCATTTTCCATTTTTTTTTTCATCTCACACAGGTCAATTAATTATTTTTCTTCAATCAAATATTAACTCGCTTGGATCTTATGCGATGGAAATTACTATGGTGGCCGCATAATATGTTGAAAAGTAGAATGCGGAAGATCAATGTGATAATTAAAATGTACTAATAAAGTAATTGCAATTTTTAGAACTTAATGAAGTACACATTTAGAATCTAGCATTTTGCCTCCTTCACTGCCCCCAAGAAGATTGCCCCAGTTGCATCAAATTATCCACCGAGTTAGTTCAAATCTAAGCCTAATAAAAACAATATGAAGCACCAATTCATATTTCATTACAATAAAAGAAACCCTCTCCAATATCAAGCAACAGGACAATAAACAAATCAGCTCTCAGCATCATGTTCCATTCAAACGCTAGTTTTGGTTACTTCCTCCTGCCTTGAGCATGATAATCTAATCGACAAACAGAGGATAACAAGTAAGTCTACTCTCCGCATCAGGTCCATTCAAAAGCTAGTTTTGTCCATTTTCTCCAGACTTGAGCATGATTTCTTTCTATTTCCCCAATTTCTATCCCCCACAGTTCTCTCAGCTATCAAGTGCCCCAAGGGCTTTCATGTCCTCTAAGAAAGCCATATATGAGTCATCAATGCTCTGTCCTTTTGCTGCTGATGACAAGCTTGCTGACTCTGACTTCACAACAGCTGGAGCTGATGTTCCAACAACTGTTGCAGAGTTTGATAGCGATGGTTTCGGCTTTGGCTTTGGCATTGCAGTTTCTCTTCTCACTCGAACAGATGCAGGAACCTATACAAGAAACATGGTGTAAAATACAGGACGGCAAGAGACTGAATGAGCAAGCTCTTTGCCCAGTCACACCAAACTCATGACAACTATTAAATTAAGAGCCACACGCGAGTATCACACAGCTTTTCAATTAAAAAGTATTAGGCATTCCTTAGCCATCTGATACCATTCATTCTTCTGTAGTTGAAATGGATATCTAACAAATGGTTTGTTCAACTTTTTATCATCCAGGGTAATGAAGTTAACATTGCACAGTTTATAAGCCATTCTTAAGTTTATGCAATATTTTTCGTTAGATAAAACAATTTAGTCCCTATATAAAATTTTGGTCAAGATTTTCAGCTTAATAAGCCAGTTGGAATTAACAAGATTATTCTGATCCCAAGTAGTATCATATTGTTCGACTGATTTCATAAAGCTATGAAAGAAAGAAACATGGAGTCAAAATAGCAGCATAAAAGACCAATAAAAGAGAAAGGAAAAATGACGAGGACCTCATAGGAAAATTAATGCCAAATTAGGATCTCTTGACAACTAAAGTTCCTAAATTCAGTACTCCTTCCATGTTTTGGTAATAAAAATCTTTAAAAAATCTTGTTTTGACTTTAATCTTTTTACGAGGTCCTTACTTGTCATTCTCCAAAAAAGAAATTAACCTTACCATAGCTGTAAGTTCCGGAGTGTGCTGCGCTAGTGGTCTTTTGACAACAGTTGAAGCAGCAGATTTAACATATGATGGTTTCTGTGGTGGGGTTGGCCTCATAGCCTCATGATCATCTTCATGAAAGTTGGGAGGAGGACCAGGTGGAAGTGGCGGTCTCATCATTGGAGGTGGCCCTGGTGGAGGGCCATAAGGTGGCCTTGGAATTATTGGGACCATCATTCCAGGAGGTGGTGCTTGACCTGGAAGTCCTGGAGCAGGTAAAGGAGGTCTCATATCAGGTGGGGGTGGTGGGGGTGGTGCAAATCGAGATATTCCAGGGGGTAATACGTCAGGCTGTAAGGTTGGAATTAATGGGGGTCCTACAACTAAAGGCTGTTGCCTAGGAGGTGGTGGCCCAGGAACCATTTTGGGGATCTCCTGGCTTGCCAATGAGTTCTTATTATCAGCAACAGAAGAAGCACCATCTGACTGACTAGCACCAGATTTTGGTGGCATTCCGCCGGGGGGTGGAGGGGGTGGAGGAAGAGATGCCTGCATTTTAGAGAATAAGTTACCACACAGGAAGCTGCATCTTCGTATGACAACATCAATTCCTAGTTTTAAAATTCAACATCTAGATCCATAAGGTCTAACAATTTCCTGCTTGGCAACCAAATTAGGATGTCCACTAACTTTCCATATAAAACCTGAATATAACTCCTTACCAATCAACACTTGTGTTGAAATCCAGTTTCATGCCTTTACTGATAAAGCATAAGCTGTTAGGCTTACCTGACCACGCTCCTCCAAAGATGAATCATCTAACAAGGAGGATTGATTTCTCTCTTCACTTCCACTGGTACCAGGTACTTGTGGCTGAGACTGTTGGAGGGGGGGAGGTGGAGGTGGTATAGGGCGGTTTGCAACTTGTTCTTTAGGTGGAGGTCCAGGAGGTGGGGGTGGCAAAGGAGGTGGTGGTAATGATGTAGGCACGTTTGCTGTAGAAGGCTTGGGTGGCATGGGAGGTGGTGGAGGTAGAGGCAAAGAAGCAGGTAAAACCAAGCCTTCAGCTGAACTAACACTGCTAGTATCAGGCAAAGGAGGTGGGGGAGGGGGTGGGGGAGGAGGAGGAACAGCTAAGATATCATCCTCTGATTCTGGCTTTGAGGATGACGCAGCATTACTTGATGAAGCACCAGACAAGGGAATTCTGGGCCCTACGGTTCAACACAAAGGTAAATAAAAAAAAAGAAAGCCTGCAAATGCAAACCACCGACATTCTCAATCCATGCCAAAGACAAGTATGAAACAAGCTCAACGTACCTACAGATGATTTAAACATGGGAGGTTTTCCTGGTGGCGGAGCCCCAGTGGGGTTCAGTGTTGGATGATAGTAAACAGAGTCCTGTTGCAAAAATCAGCATAATGTTCCTGAGTTAGGAATGTTTACGACAGCTCCAAAACTGCAGCTTTTCATTGTTGGAAGCTAGAAAAGAGGAAAACAGAGATGCAAACAACTTATTATATACTACCTCAGGCTTTGGGTGCTTGACTCTCTCTTCTTCTTCTGCAGTTGTTCGTCTTCGGGGAAGACCCAAGTGACTGACCAATAGAAATGCTATGATTTATAAGCTAAAAAAACATTATTTGGAACTAAATTCATCTTTTAAAATATCAGAAGGCACTTCTCACCTGAACATAACGGGGGTCTCACCCTTCTCCCGCATTTTTTCTTCATATTCCTGTCCAAGCAAAAAAGATCGAGACAATCAATAATAATTCAAGGGGGGAAATACAAGCAGCTTTAAAAGTTAATGGGAATGAGAATCTAGGGACTGGACACTGGGCTGGTTCTCGGTCCAACCAGTGGAACCAGCCATTCCAGTTTTTTAATCATTGATAGGAATAAGCTGGCAAGCAATATACGAGAAACAATGAAGACATTCGTATAGGCAATAATAAAAAGTTAACATAACATCTAGTTGTTACCTTCCTTTTCTTTAACACAAGGTTAAGTGTGTCCTGAAGCTGTCTCTTCTTATGCTTTCTTGCCTTGTCCAAAGCACCATCAGCCTCTACCATAAACAACAATGCATAACCTTAAGCTATATATGACTTATAAAAAATCTATGTATTTTTGTCAGTATAGCTTGAAAAAATAATCATGTACTTTTCCGTGTTTAAAATATATATATATATATAGCTTCTTCGAGTCTCACATTAGAACATGTACTACATAGAGTAAAATAGCCAGATGTTCATCCTCCAGGAATTTGCAAAGTCAAAGGAACATTCATTTCAGGATAAAATTGGCCTTTGGAAGATTTAAAAGGAGTTGCCACTAGCCAGTAAAGGCAGTGTATGGGAAGCATTTTATCATCTTATTTTGATTTACCATGTTCATATTATGATCTTTCAGAACTCTATAAGCATTAGGATGAAGCACTTGCTACTTTGCTGATGTAATATTTTTGGGTATGAGTCACTTCTAACTTCCTCTGACAACATTAAGAAAATTCCTGAGCAAAACTCTTTAACAGTCCTTGATATTCAATTCAGCAATCAGTACTCGACCAGATCCAATCTCACAATATCTCAGATTCCAGAGAATCATTAGATCCAATAACAATTCTATATATATACATATATATATATATATATATTAAAAAAAGAGGGGCAAAAGATCATATAGTCCTTTTTCAATGCCACATAAATTTGTTGCTTGCACCTTTAAAAGTCAAGGGAAGCATCTCTTGCATGGGCCAAAAAAACTCAATTTCACAGCCACCAGATGCAAAACCATTAAAAAGCGTGACTTACTCATCATTTCCAAGTTCTCAATCTGCTTTTTAAGTTGTTCTGGATCCTTCTTCAAAATCCCCACTTCCCTCACCTTCTTCCTTTCCTTCTTGTTCTGTTCAATAGAAAGAGCCCATTAAAAAGGAGAGTCACAAGAATACAAACCATTTGTTAAATCCTCATAAAACACAAGCAAGAGAAAATACAAACACAAACGGAGGAGCTAAGAAAGGGGCAGATCTTAAAGAGAGTTATGTTATAAAGTAAATAAATAATAAAAGAGATATCTGCTTTAAGGCATAATGAAATATAAGGAAAGACAGTAGCTTTATTTTACTGAAATAACCAGTTGGATAAAAACTGCATGGATTTTCAATAATTGGTTTGGCAGCCACTTTAACAACGGTATAGAGCCATCCACATGGCAAAGTCCAATTCTCCTTTCAGAGAAGGAAGTCATTCTACCAAACAAAACTAGGCCACTATTTCACCACCCTTAAAAGCCATTGGGATTAGGATATAATTGATATATATTGATTGACACTATTAGCCACCACTAACCAATCATCTTTACTCAAATAAATATATGAAAGTATTTATACTCCACAATGAAAAAACAACAAAAACCAAAGAATCTCAGCCAGATATGTTCATATGAGCAATAAGTCCAGTGCTGCTAAATACTAAGCAAAAGTATATCACCCAACAAATTTTTCAAACAGAAGCACCCAATCAATTATAAGTTCATTCTTACTCATTAGCAAATATTTAAAAAAAAAATGCATACAAAAAGTGAGGGACACAAGAAGTGAAAATGAGCAGCAATGCCAGCAGTGCCAACTCCTAAAAGAGGGGGGGGGGGAGCAATGATACTACCATCTATCTTCCTAGAAAATATCCATGAATACCTATTTTTTATGCAGCAGAGGTGAAATCTAATTAACTTAACTCAAGCCAACGACCCAGGCAAATTTGATTTCCACTATTGGTAGTCCAGAAAACTTAGAAAACTACACCCAAGGGATTGGGATTGGGAGATCGCACGAAAGAATGCCAAAAAAACTCAAGCAAAATAACTTGACAAGCCATGCTTTCGCTGCCCCGGGAGGAAGTAGGGGAAGGACAACTCCATTTGGATGATCATCACGACACCCTCAAGACATCTAAATGCATAGACGCAGATGGTTTTCGAGAATTTGTTCTTCAGGCAGAAGAATGGTGACCGAAACGACGGATGCTCGGATGCATAAATCAGGGAAACAATTAGGGATAAGCAGGACAATCTAAATAAGAGAGACAACCAACAAAATACAAAAGATGAGCGCGAGAATGAAAACCCAGGAGAAAAGGAGTAGCTCGTGAAAGTAAAATACCCTTTTCAATTCCTTCTTACGAAGCTCCTTACGGTAGGCATCGGTGGGGTTCATGACCTTGCCTCCCTTCGTCGTCTTCATTTTGAAGAGAGATAAATGAACCTCTCAGAACGTTCCGATTCTTCTTCTTGTTCGCCTCGTAGTTTCTTATTGATTCACCAAACGCCTTCTTGGGTTTTCTTTTTTCTGCGACTTCTTCTTCTAATCCGATTTCAAAACCGCTAAGCCACACAGAGACAACGTCACAGAGCTAGACCAGAACCATCACATTGACGTTGGATTCCAATTTGGGGATTTGTATGTATACTGTGAACTTTCCGATCAACAAATTGGGTTCCTGACCTATCCCAAATCCCCTTGGCAAAAGGACTCCTACTTCGGGGTCGTGTTAGCCTTCGGTCTACGCCCGGTTTAGAAAAATAAACCCATATAGATACTGCGTTTTTGTTTTTGGACAGATAGAGACATAGCCTTAAAAAAAAAAAAAGCGAATGTTAAAGTGGCTGCCATGGACAAATTATTTGGGCCTGTTCATGGAGTCCGAATTACATTTTAAAATATAAATACCTTCCGTCCACAAGTCTAATGAAAAGAACTGAGGGAGAATAATAAGTAAGTAACTTACAAAAATATTAATATAAAATAAAATATTTTAATACTGAAATATTATAGAAGGGATATTAAAATTTAAAAACATCAATATTGAAAAATTTTTAATTTAATATTAATGTTCTTAAAAGATCCTTATTTGTCATTCTCTCAAAAACTAATCTCTCATGATATAATCAACCAAGATTCAGGTCCTACATAATCATTTCCAATAAAAGGATATTTTTGGATAACCATAATATATATATATATATATATATATTTCCTGATTCACAACTGAAAATTTTAAATTTGTATAAAATTTTTAACAATCTTAATTTTTAATTGATTTTACATAAAACTTTTAAAATCTAACTGTAATTAAATTGATATTGTAGGATCTAACTGTCTTTTACTTTTTTTCTCCAACGAAATTTACGATTTCATATCTTCAAATTTTTCACTTTTTATAATATTCTTTTATATTCATTGATTAATAAATTAATGTTGATGTCGATATTTTTATTATTATTTAACGTTTTAGAAGGTAAAAATTTGATTTTTTTTCCTTAATGTGTTCACAAATAATTTCTGCAATTTTTAGGAAAATAGGTTTTCTTCATTTTTGTTCCAATGGCATATTAGATTGTCCAGATATTTTTAAGGCCAACCGATCGTCCAGATTTAATTTACAGAGTCTAAATATTTTACTTTTTAAAACTTTCAATATTTTTAGTTTAAAAATTAAAGATAAAAAATAATTGGAAACTTTAAAACTTTTATACTAGAACACAATTATAAAATAATAAAATAAAAGACATTATTTGTTTAGACAACAGGCACATTCCAAACATGCTCACGCCGCTCATGATTTTTTTAACTGCACCATCACAATTGCACTTAATTCAACTAGGATTAAGTTTTCTCCATTGAACAAAGATACAGTGATCACTCAAAATTAGGATTGAAGGTACCTATAGCCTTCATAAAATGAGTAGCTAAAAACAAAATGGCAGCACTTACAACAATAACAATAAGTTTTTATCCTATTAAGTGGGATTGGCTACATGAATTGTAAGATATCATTATGTTCTATTATTTATCAAACTTTTAAAAATATTATTAATTAAGAGATCGCGTTCAACAACTTCTAAAAGTATTCTCTTAAGCCTTCATTTATTCCTCTTAACAAGTCTCAAAGTTATATGTTCCACTCTTTTTACTGGTGCTTCCCGTAGTCTTTTTTATACATGCTCAAACCATCTCAAACTTTTTGCCTTTTGCTATCAGTTTTTTCTTAATAGATGCTACATTTATTTTTTCGCATACGTGCTCATTTTAAATTTTATCTTTACATGTATGTTCGTACATCCATCGTAACATTCTCATTTCTGCTACTCCAACTTTATGCTCTTGCTGTCCTGTTAAAACCCAATATTCACTACCATATAATATAGGCAGTCCGATAGTAATACAATAAAACTTTCCTTTAAATTTATTAAGTACCTTACAATCGCAAATAACTCATTTAACTTTTCTTCAATTAAACCACACAACTTGAATTTTATGTGAAATATCCCTACTGATTTCATCATCATTTTGGATCATGGCTCCCAAATATCTAAACTTTTCCAAATTACTCATTTTGAATCATGGCTCCCAATTTCACTTTTAAATTATTGTCAACTAGTCTTTTATTAAATTTACAATATAAATATTTCATCTTATTCCTACTCAGACGAAAACTTTTCGACTCCAATATCTTCCTCCATAACTCAAGTTTACAATTATTCTCTTCTCTTATCTCTGCTATAAGAATTATATCATCTACGAAGTGTATACATTTAATAATTTTCTCTTGAATATGTTCTATCAAAATATTTAGGACCAAGTTAAACAGATAAGGACTCAAAGATGATTCCTGATGTAATCCAATATTCATAGAAAAATTCTTTGTTTGACCAGTAAACATTCTTATACTAGTTTTTACCTCCTCATACATATCTTGTATAACTTTAATATAAGCAATCTGTATTCTTTACTTTTTTGAGGCTAAAAATCATGTGTAATCTTTATCTTTACAACGATACTTTTTTATTAATTTCTTTAGTAGATAAATCACCTCTGTAGTTGATCTATCTGGCATAAAATCAAATTGATTCTCAAAAATACTTGTCTCCAATCTCAACCTATACTCAATTACTTTCTCTCACAATTTTATTCTGTGACTCATGAGTTTAATTTCTCTATAATTAGTACAATTTTAAATATCTCTTTTATTTTTATAAATAGGAATTAATGTACTTCTCCTCCAGTCATCAGGTATTTTCTTGAACCGTAAAATCACATTAAATAACTTAGTTAACCATCTCACCCATTCTTCACCTAAATATTTTCACACTTTAATAGATATACAATCAGGCCCGTTAGCTCTACCATTTGTCATTTTCTTAAGAGCTTCCTTTACCTCCTTATTACGTATTATTTGATAGAATGATAAATTTTATTCTCCTTCACAAGTTACTAAACCCTCTAAGTTACTAGACGAACCCTCTTCATCATTGAAAAGTTTGGAAAAGTAAATCTCCCATCTATTTTTAATTTCATCATTTGTAATTAAAATTCTTCCCTCTTCATTCTTTATACACCTTACTTATTCTAGATTTCTTGATTTTCTTTCCCTACTCTTAGCAATCTTATAAATGTTTAATTCTCCTTTCTTTGTCTCAAGGCTCTTATAAAATTTTTCAAAACTTTAGAACGAGTTTTAATCACAGCTCTCTTAGTTTTCTTCTTAGCCTTACAGTATCTTTCCCATTTTTTTCATTGTTATACAAATGTATGTCTTTAAAATAGTTCTTTTTATGTTTGATTTTGTCCTGTAAATTATTATTCCACTACCAAGACTCTTTATCTCTCAAACCAAAACTTTTTGATTCTCCCAAAATTACTCTTGCAACCTCCCTCATCTTTTTAGCCATATCTTCCCATAAGATGTTAGCACTTCTCTAAATTTCCAAATTCCTTTATCCAAAAGATTTCACTTAAAAAAATTTTACTTTTCACCATTTAATTGCCACCACCTATCCTTAATACTACTACTTGTCGACGCTTTTGAGTTTTACTCATAATACACACATCAAGGAGAAGGACCTTATGTTGTGTCGTTACAGCATCATCGGGAATCACCTTGTAATTTTTACAAAGTCTTCTATCTGTGTTTCTAACCAAAAGAAAATCAATCTGTACCTTGAGGCTCCACTTTTATAAGTGATGAAATGCTCATCTCTCTTCTTAAAATAAGTGTTGGCAATTTTAAAATCATATGCCAATGAGAAATCAAGAAAAGTTTGTCCTTTATTATTTAGTTCTCCAAAACCAAAACCACCATGCACCCTCACATACTGACCAGCTTCCCTTTCAACATACCCATTAAAGTCTCCTCCAATGAAAATCTTTTCACACTGTGGTATGTGTTGAATCAACCCCTCCAAGTCCTCCCAAAATAATTCATTAAGACTAGCTTCTATCCTAACTTAAGGCGCATAAACGTTAACAATATTAACAGTCTCACATCCAACTATCATTTTTAAGGAAATAATTCTATCTCCAATTCCGCTAACTTTCACAATATTCTTCTTCCACTCCTTACCAATAATGATGCCTACTCCATTGTGTGTGTTTACTTTTCTTGTATACCAAAGTTTGAAACTTTGAATATCCTTAGCTTCTTCTCCACACCATTTTGTTTCTTGCAGGCATAGGATATTGATTTTCCTTTAAATCATAACCCCTACAACTTCTACAAATTTACAATTTAATGTCCTAACATTTCAAGTACTAAATCTAATCTTGTTCTCATGGACTAACTTCTTTAACCACACACATCTAGAATGACGCGGTAGCCCTTACTTATTTAACACTACATCCGGGCGCTAATACAACAGTTCTAACTCACTTATCACTATACTCAAGCCATGCAATGCGTTATACGGGCAATGACCTAGCATTAGCATTGTAACGTCTATTGTCTATGTTCATGATAAATTCAACAAAATTTTATATTGACTGTTAATGACCTAACACAATCCTCCTCTTTATTTTATATTGACTGTTAATGACCTAACACAATCCTCCTCTTTTACTAGAGTTTGAGACCGGCTATAAAATGGCAACACTTAAAGAGCAAGTATTAATAGTCTCAATGTCTTATCATTAAACAGAGACCTGTTCCTTGCATCCCAAAATTTCACCAGCAAGAAATGCCCAAAAACATGGGCCCATTTTACTAAGAAGATGAATTTTTGCATTGCAGTATTTGCAGTACACAATCAATTTTTTATCCGCATTCTGTAACATAATGATTACATTTCAATCCTCCTAATAGCGTAAATCATCCAAAGATTTGGATTCTCCACTATCCGAGACCTATTTTGACTTCACGCACATACACAGACCTATGTCGGGTCATGACTGACTGTTCTGAGCCACACCAAGGGTTCTTAATAACCATTGAATTTTATACCTTCAGTAGACCAACTATCAGCCACAAGGCAAGGGAAAATACAAGACATTTACTTCAACTCCCCCAACAGCAACAAAATTGTCATTTCCCCACAGTACAATGCAGAATCAGCTCTCACAGAATATTGAACTCTTCTGGGTATAACCTGAAAATAGAAGCTTCATTGACTTCTTAGTACCTCTGTCCCACCCCATTTTCAGTACCTATGGCTCCCAAAAGAATATATGCTCAAAAACGATATAGCAATTACGATTGTTTTACAAGGTCGTATAATTCTAAATAGAGCAGTGAATTGAGGACAAAGAAGAAGGTTTTAAAGCTTTAAACAAACTGAGAAGGTGTTAATTATCATGGAAGGGAGTCAAGGGACTAACTGGATATATAGTCTTAAATCTAGATGATATTGGTACTAGTTCAACCTCGCTTGAACGAAATATCCTCCACTGGTGAAACATGAAATTCCATTCACGAACCTATTGGATGTAAATTTAGAAAGCAAGAGAAAAGGGAATGCATCAATTTATATTTTAAAAAAAATTCCTGACAGCACAGTATGATGTTTGTGGATTCATTACATCTAAGAATCATGACTTTTCAACAAGTATGAGCCAATAGCAGTCCAGTGATTTTAAAGACTCGAAGCAAGAAATGTAAATTCTGTAAAAACAATGTGTGCCACAAGTCAAATAATCCTAGCCACCTTCACCCATTTCTGTAGATGAGATAACACCTGCATACAAAGATATCAAGAATCGATGCTTCCATAGAGCTATGGATCACAACCACAAAATTTTTCCAAAAAGAGAAATGTTCAATATCAACTTGTTCTCAGTAAGAAGGACGCCATTGTTTCAATATCATGCTGCATAACCCGGGAAAAAGTACATGGTTTAGCCTAAGTTTTCTTACCTTCATTCTCTTTTAAAGCATTTTGTATTCATCTTATATTTCAAAGATATCAAGCCTTGCCATTATACAAAACCCCAGTTGTATAACAGTCATCTCAAGTACAGCACTAACTGATTGGATAAAAAGGAGATTTTTTTCGTACAAACTATCTTCCCCAAGAATGAGACGGCAAAGGAAGAAAGGAAAGAAATGCAAAATATCAGAGCCAACTCAAAATCCAAGCTCTTGAATAAAGACAAGGTGGTGGCCAATGAACACCTAAAACTGACAAACAAACGGTTTGGCTTCTTTTATTTTGATAACGTCACAACTGTAATACATAGAGCACAACATTTCTCATTTCAGCCTAGCAGACAAGCCTCTAGAATATGCAATACATTTCTGCATTGAACAAAGAAACAGGAGTGATCTCCTCAGCCATCACCTGGTGCTCAAACGCTGGCAAATATATTCTTACTTATTTTGAAGAACGTCGTAATCTTCTGAGGACAACTAGCTCATAGAATCTTCGAGTCCGTAAGTACAGAGCCAGACCAACCAAAAAGGTAATAAAAGTCACACCTGCCAGGATCAGAAAAGATGACATGAAACAGTGGATGCCAAAGCATGAGTTATCTTCCTTATTGGCCTGCTTGTCATAAATATATCCAACAACCCCCACTGAGAGTATATAAGATCCAAGAGGACTTGCTGCAGCAATGGTATTAAAAATGGTACCCATGTGCTTAACACCAAATATCTCAGAGGTGATTGTGGGCATCAATGACCAATTTGCACCATAACAGATGCCCACAAGGACTGGACCCAAATACAGATTTCCTCGGAACCCAGAAGCAATGATTAAATGACCAAGAATCATAACTCCCAGAGTTGCAACCATTAACAAGGGCCTTGGCCAACCTTTTTTGTGCATCATGTAATCCGACACATAGCCTCCTCCAAAACGGCCAAGAAAGTTCCACATGCTCCATAAAGACACCAAATTGTTGATCTCTACAATACTGTAGCCAAGAGATTGCCCTATCTGGCTCATGTTATTTATCGTTGCCAGCCCAGAGCCCAACCCAGATATCATAGTTATAAACAACATCCAAAATTCAACAGTACACATGGCACTCAAGAGGTTCTTTTCTTCTTCATCAGGTAGCACATCACCTGAAGTTGACTGTAACTGCCTATCATCACTAGGCAGCTCCTGATATTCCATATTATCCCCTGCTGGCAAATAACTGGAGGATGTAATTAACTTAGGGTTGTTTGTTAAAGGAGGACCCCTCTCAAGTGAGCAGGTTTGGACAAATCTCCACGAGTCCTCCCAATGAGCTTTGGCAGCAATTCCAAAGGGTGATGCTAATAGAACCATGAGGATTGCAAATGTGAAAATACGTGCCCAAGATGGAAAGAACAGGATGTTTTGTAAAACTATAATAAACATGAGATAAGCAACAATAGCCAAGGTGACGACAGAGAAGCCGTTCATTTGCCTCTTGTAATCAACATCGTGCGCTTCATATATTCTGACTAAAAACATTAGCGATAGGCAGATGAATGTAGGTAGGCAAGCTAGCATCAGAAGGTAGGCCGTTGGGTCGCCATCACAAAAAGTGTGATACAGTTGGATCAGGATTGCTCCGCTAAGTCCGAGAAATCCCTGATTAAGATAAAAAAGGCGTAATATTTTGTCAGGATTACACCAACAAGCAAACAGCATCTAGCAAAAGTTAAGGGCTTCATGAAATTTGTAGAAGGCATGTTATCAACAGAAGCAGAACTGAGGAACTTAATCTGCAAGTTTAAAAGTATTTACTGCATGTTATCAATAAGCAGTAAATCAAGAAATATGATTAGAGACGCAAGTTTTCCCTCATCGTAATGGGGAGATAAATGAGAAGCCAGCTGAGCTGAGATTTGGGTAGCAGATGAACTTGCTAGCTAAAACAAAACAGAACAGACTAAAGCAGAGCTTATTAACGCACAGTAAAAGACTAAATTCAACTAAAGAAATTGCAGAGAACCATTTGAGATACAAGAAGCAGGAAACAATTTAGTCAAAGGGAGATTTGACAAGTCTATCAAGATTTATTATATAAGTCCAAGTTTCCTGAGAAACCTACCAGCTCCACAGCCATTAAATTTTGCATAAAATCTGCGTTCCGCTAGAAAGACAACAATAATTCAACATATAAAAGTCCGCAATGACCCAAGTAGATTCCGCTAAATATCGTCAAAACATCATTCGAGAGTAGAAGAAAGGGAAAGGAAAAAAACCTTCATGATGCCGACGATGGTGCCGCTATACTCGGGGAAATTGCGCAAGCCGGTGACCACATTCGTCGTGTTCAAGAAAGTCTGGCCATTAGAGCCTAGCCAAGCGAAGAAGCACATAACAGCCACGGGTGGCCGACCGATCAAACCGACAACCGCCGCCCAGAGGAAGATGAAACCGGCAAAGCACTGAACGGCACCGACAGCATGCACCACCCACGGACCCCCAAAAGATTGCCGTTTGGATTTCGAAGGGGAAGCTCGAGAGGGAGGACCGTAGGGTGTGACGGCGGAGAAGAGCAAGCCGGAGAGGATGCCAAAGTTGGCGCCAATATCTTTGAAGACAGAGACGGTGTCGAGTGTGGATTGATCGTAGCCCTGAGTGGATTTGAGAACAGGAGAGTAGATGCTGAAGGTATAGGAGGCACCACAGCTCCACTGGATCCAGATGCTAGCAGCAGCGGCCACCCATCGATTGGTCAGCCACTCCATGATTTGATTGCTTCGAAGGATTTCCAGGAATTTTGGTGGTTGTGGTCAGGGGAAATTCTCTGACTTTCGTAGATGACGTTGTTGGTGTGGAATTTTGACGGAAAATGTCGTGCATATATAGAATTTCCGGCGTTCATTTATCCATAACCATGAGTTAATGGAAATCGTCGCCAACTTGGCCATCCCAATCATCCGATGCCCTCCTCTAACTTTTCTAGCCTCTGGGTTTTCTGGACAGCAGGTCGTGTGCCAGTGTTCATGATCACGAATTCATGATTCACCTTCCCGTTCCCGCGTCAGACCCCATCCGGCGAAGTTGATTCTTCAATTATTGCCTCAGATAGTTGGACCAAAAAAAAAAAAATTTATTGCCTCAGATGGTTTAAGGATAAGGATGGAGTAATTTACTAACTTAGAAAATATTCCTTCCATCTCATATATAAATTATATTTTAAAAAATTTATTTAATTTTATTTTAAATTACAGTAAAAAATTTTAAGTAATGATTAAAAAATATTTTTAAAATTATTCTTAATGAAAAAAAATAATATGACATCACTTTTTAAATTTTATATATAAAAATATATTTAAAATTCTATACACTTTTATTCTTTATACTTTTTTATATTGATATTGATGAAGTTGATAAAAATAATTTATAAAAAAGATTAAAGAATTATATACTATCCCTTCAATACAACATAAAGTACTTTTTTTAAGTTTTAATCAACTTCCATTTCAGTAAATTAATTAATTATCTTTTCATATTTAATAGAATGTCTTAATTAAAATGTATCATTAATTATACCCATTAATCTAGAATATTTAATAAAAATCATTAATTGTACTTTGAAACTTTAAAATATCTTATATTTTTTAATACCTTACTTCAAAAAATATATATCTTATATTTTTTAATGAAAAAAGTACGTGACATTTGTAACTATCTCACTAGAATCAGTGAGACGTGGTTAAATTATTAATTTTGTTTGAAGATATTATAAACTTCTAATTTTACCTCTACTTGAGTGAAAAATTTTCAAATTTACAATATATTATCTTTCATAGTTAATGAATTTAAATAGAGATAATATTAAAAAACATCATTAATACCCTATTAAGTGTCTTATATTAAAAATAAAAAAATCCTTCTTAAAAAAAACCTATAATAGGAATCAGGAGGAGTATGTAATATAAACTAACCATATACTTCCTCTATTTTCAAACATAAGAGTTGTTGAACTATATATTTTGATTATTACAAAATCAAGAGAGATATGTTTGTTACTTGTATAGGTTTTAAGAGCAATTGAAGTGACAAAATCTTGTAGAGCATGAAGGAAAAAAAAAACTTAAATTAAAATGTTTATTTATTTTCTTTTGTTATATTTAATGTAAAAACTGGGATAGTTTGATCACATGTCTTTAAATGGTAAGAATGTATCACATTAGAACCAACATGAGGTTCATAAATCCTTTAAACTTAAGTATCAAACTTTTAGAATGCACTTAAATATATTGTGCCAATCCATACTTGATCTAGGATAATCCACACGTGATTTGGCTATTATAAGTAGATGATAAGACTTAGTGAATCCAATTCAAGTTAGAACTGAAACAAATCTCGCTTAAATTAGACCATAGAAGTTAGACATTATAGTCTGAGCCATTCCACGCTTGAATCAAGGTAATCCAGGTATGTTTCGACAGCTAAGTGTAGGGAGTGTCTTGAAGATGCTTCTGTATTTTAATTCACATACACTTTTTGTTCACGCTTGAATTATCCAACAGTGTTAGCTAAAGTTTGCACAAGTGATGTTTCATGCCTGGATCAAGATGATCCACACTTGACATGGAACTTGCCTATTTTTTTGTTGAAGTTTGATCTTAGAGGGTCTTTAAACCAAACAAGCCAAATTAAGCATGTTCTGGAGTGGTCCAAGCGTGTTTTACCATACAGAAAAGTTAGGTACTTCTATTATCCATTCCACACTTGAAAATCATTAGTACCTATGTGTGATTTGTTGCATAGAGAGACTAAGAGCTTTTGTCATCTAAATCACAGTTGAGAACATTATAGTCTCACACCTAAAATGTCATAAGTGAACCAGAGCCAAAAGCCTAAATGCCATTCCACATGTAGAGAGGACCATTTCATGCTTGAAATGAATTTTGATATCGCATCAAATACGTCATTGGAAAAGTGTCTTTTTCTATTTTTATTCACTCATACATGTCTCTAATGGCTATAATTACTTTCCTGAGTGTTTCTAATTGTCTAAACTATCTTAAACTGTATATAAGACCCCATTTAAATTAGTGAATAATTTTGAGAACACATTTATTGAACATTAAAGTGTTTGCATTCATTTTCTTACCAACTTATTAACATTTTTGTAAAAAAAAAAACTCTCACAAATTTATAAGCTTTCATTATAATTTATCTATTCTTTTCAAAGTCTTTTGTGAAGTTTTAATTATTGAGCTGAAATATTAAAAAAAGAGTTTTTTAAGTGTTTTGTAATAACTTACTAGTGTAGCAATTGGTATTGTTGAATCAAGACTATTGTAATCTTGAAAGCTATACTGTGGTAACAAGTATTCATTAAAACTTGTATTTTTAATTGAAAATTCTAAGAGTAATATTGAGAACTTGAAGTAAGCTAAATGGTTGGATTAAATCAAGATAAATCAATTGTGTCAAACTTTTCTTCTTAAACCTCATAAAATTTTCATTTTCTATCTTGCATTCTTAAATGCATTCTCTTTAGTTATGTAAAGTCTAGAAAAAATTTATGAATACCCAATTCATCCTCTTTTAGGTGCCATGCTTTTTCAACAAGGATAAAATAATCAACTCACACAATTTAAAAAAGTTAATTAATATAATAATTATATCTAAAATTAAAAAAATTGAATAAATTATCTCTATAACTAACAAAACAAATTTGACTCAGGAAAATAAATATTAACTTTATAACAGTTAACTTAAAAATATATACTAATAAATATTTTTTAAAATTTATATTTTTACTTAAAAAAAAAAGAACATATATGATAGTTTATCTTATATAAAAAAAATGGAGGGAGTCACTATTTTCCTTATATGTATAAATAATTAAGAACGCCTTACTCCTACAATATAAAACGTTGAGGATTTGGTATTTGGCATGTTTAATGCAGACTTTTATTGAAATTAATTAAAAAAAATCCTTAGCCACCAATGTTTTTAAACATTTACAGTTGTGGATAAGAGTTGACCCAGTCTAACCATTATAAAATTGAGGCTTAAAGGCTCAAGTGCATAAATCCTTTTAACATAACATTAGCACATTTTTTCAAGCTTAATTCTTATTGACAGGCTCAAGGTCGAGCCTAAAAACCCACATAAATTTTTTTTATTTTTTAAATCAAATTTTTTAATTATATTAATAGATATTTATATTACAAAGTATCTTAATTAAATATTTAAAATGAAAATATTCTCTAGTGCTTATTATTATTAATCTTCATTTAAAATAAGGTTGCACAAAGGATCGAACAATATTAGACATTGACTTAACTCAAAGTTTAGTCTCTTTCATAGAAATACTTGGTTAGACAATTTGTTTGATTTGGTTCAAATGTAACCTAAAAATTAATAGGATCAAACTTGGCTTATAGAATTAGGAGACTGATCTTGATGGTCCAAAACTCACTTAGTTTTCTTTTTCTTTTTCCTTTGTGAAAGATAACAATTCATTTTAATATGATAAGCTCAGTTAAGATAATAAAAATACTTATAATCATAATAAATTCACAACAATCTCCAACAACAGCAAGAAAATATTTTAGTTACAATTCAAGTGATTTAAGTTAATAACCTTGACAACAACAACAACAACATTTAACAAAACTTTATCAATATGTCTAATCTATATTATAGCAACAATTTAACATCAAACTAAATTAAAATTATACTAAATAAAAGGGTGAATGAGAAAAAAAAAAGAAAACATTGTGTTCAAACTTCAAATGATTCAAATATGTTAAAAATAATTATAATTATATTAAAATAATTTTATAAGGCTAGACTAGGCTAAGTGATTTGAAAGTTTAGTCTTTTATTTGGTTCAACCAGAGGAGTTAATTTAATCTTTTTGGTCTCTTTGGTCATTCAAACCAAGTTTTTTGCCAAATTATATTTTTCTGAATTGGATTGAGTGGGACAAAATAACTAAACTTTTGCATAACCCTAATTTAAAAATAAAGCATTTAACCCTTAAGAGAGAGGTCTATTAGAAGGAGGCGGTGTTATTTCAAAAATCTCACTAACTTCATATTTATCATCTAAAATAAATATTCAACAAATTATGTTATGGTTATATATTAATTCAAAACTTTGAGTAAATTAGATAAATAATGTAAAAAAGTTATAACAGCTTAAGGGCTAGCCCAAATCCAAACTCATTTTTGTAAAGCTTATAGAAGCAAAGCTAAAGAGCCCTTTTATATTAAGATCTCTAATTTTTTTAAAAACCCAACCTTAAAAAATATAGAATATAAAAGGATAACCCACCAGCTTCGTCCTTATTAATGTCTCTACTAGGGATAAAAATCTTCAATTGAGGATTATATCTTTGTTAAGAAAAAAGAAAATTAATTTAGAAGTCTTTCTAGTTTTCTTCAATTTTTAATTGACTCTTTGTAGTTTATTTTATTTTAACCAAACTCTTATAATTTAATGAATTAAATTTGTTATTCCCTTGCGATTAAAATTCTTGAATTTATTTTGTTAAAAGATTATATAATTTTAGAATTAATTATGTAATTTTTATATCTCAATATATATAAATAATTATTTTATGTTTTTAAATAAATTATATGTATAATTTTTATAAAAAATTAATAAAAATGTAAACATTTTATTAAATCAAATTTTCTTCCTGTTTTTTTACTAAAAGTATTAAATCATTTTTCCTATAAATTTTAAAAGTGTTTTTATTTTAAAAAATATGATCATTTATTAATAATTTCAACCTTAAAATATTAATATATTTAATCTATCAAATTACAAAACTTAATTAAAATAAAATAAATCACGACTTACAAGAACTAAAAGGGTGTGCGGATTAATTTTCATTAAAAAAATATCACTTTTTCCTTCATTCACTTCTCTCATTGTTATCCTACCAGCAACTCTGCAGCATTCTTCTAGGGAATAGTGTTGAAGGCCATGCCGTAGCAGGTAAAATTAATGGAAGAAAATAATGACACGGGAGTCCCTAGCGGGCAAATAATTGTAAGAAAGATTTTTTGGAGGCATTCATATGAAATGAGGATCTTACTGAAG